AGGGATTTTGCACTTTCAAAGAAAGGGATTTTGCACTTTCACTACTTCATGGTCGTGCTCAGAGTTTTACAAGAGTTGGCAAGTACTGGTTCGACTGATATTACTTCACGGCTTCACGGGATCCCGCAGACTTAATGACTTGACACCACAATAGAAACAGCAAAGTGCAACAATATCCTCCCAAGCCAAGCTGGGCCTAAAGAAGTGAGTAAATGAGGATGTTTTTACAAGCTACAAAATAGCATTTTGTAGGAATTTCTCAACTCATGCTAAAACCAAACAGGAAAGCTATCAGTAATAGATTACTCACTTTGGTGCCATTTTGTCCTCGTCAGAACGTCGTTTCAGACAAGCAGCCTTTGGGTTGAGATTGCGCTGTCGTACCTGTACGAAAAATCTATATCCACTGGGTATCATAGAAAAGAAACTACTGTACAAATTAAAAAAAACAAGTTATAAAGATCAAACCGCAGGAATCAGCTCTACCTGTTCCTCGAGAGCCGTAATGATGGAGACGGCCTGGTGAAGGATGCCAAGCTTGGTCTGGGCTTTCTCGTTGGCGTTCGGCAGATGCTGTCCGCACATCTTTCCAAGCTCTTTGAACGCGGTGTTGATGTCACGTACACGTACACTAAACGAGGGGAGCGTTATTCGAATGTTCCCATCAAACGCAGTGATGAAAAGGGTTGGATAGCATGTGAAATGGGCGCATCTACCACTTAGGCACTTTAATCTCAACGTTACTATTGAGAATGAATGGGCGAACTCAGGCCTACCATGGGGCGAATGCATCAAATCCGTGACGCATTTTCCAGTCCTATTGGTTGATATGATAAAATCAGGGACATACAGTTGGTGTCAGAGCACGTCGTACGTGGGGGAATCCGCCGGGGTTGCTCTGGGGGCCGTATATGGTCACTAGAGGTAGGAGGGGTCGTATTTGACTGAGACAACTTTTTGACTTTTCCTATTTTGCGGGCGCTATCTACATCTCGTTTTGCGGGAGCTATCCACATCGTTGAGAGAATTCCAATGAGGATGGGGTGGTATTTGCATGTCGTTGGGAAAGGAGGAGGCACCTGTTGCACGAAAATTATCCCCCAGCGGTAGGAAGTGCAGTGGTTGGTACAGTTGCAATCAGTCAGGAAGGCGGGAGGAGGGCATGACAGCAGCTCATCCGCGCTGTTTTATACCACTGACTGTATTCTTTCCAACCCGATCAAAAACGGTGGAGGGGGGTGGACCCATTCTACGCCTCCCGACCACCTCGCTTGTTGTGACATTATTAATTATGGGCGCTGTTCCGTCTAGGGGAGACGGGCATTTTGGACTTTCCGCTAGTTGTTTTGCTTTTTCATGTCAACGAACAGGTCATTTTGGTGAAGCTCTTCCGAAGCTGCAAAATGCCACGAATGAGCAACGTTTGCCACAAAAATTTGCAGGTCATATCAAGGTGACCTGTACAGTGTTGGCTGAGTACCATGTCCCTCCCC